AAAGTGATATTGGATGTTCCCTCCCCCGCAAAAAAAACACCCAAAAAATACCATTGATATGTTTCTAAAGCAAGCAGGCAATACCCACAACTCTCAGAGCAGTACAAAAACACCTTCATGGTATAACACACAAGCCTGTAGGCTTATAGTCGAGAAGCCTTCTTGCTTTTGTCAGGTTTGATTTTTTCACGCAGCAGCTGTCTAAGCTGCATTGTGCTTTCTGGTATTGAGGCGAATGGAGCATACGGGCCTTCCTCGCCATTGAGAGTACCAGGCTAACGGAGCCTACCTAACAGATGATCAGGGCCCTGTGAGTAATAGACTCCTCATTTAGTTTTAATACATTTTGCATAGAGAGCAATCAACCTTCATCAGTCTTAAAGATAAATTGGCTTAGCCAGCTAAATTTTAAAGATATTAGTCCAACAGCAGTCACATAAATCATAACGTTTTCTTAATGATGGTAAAATTAAAATATACTCTTGCTTGAAGAAGCCAATGGAGCTTTAATATTCACAGGCCAAATCCTCCCCCAAAATTAAAGGAAGCTTAATTGATGTTTTCTAAAGCCAACTCAAACAGTAACATTTCTTCTCAGTTGTCCCTATATATCTTCTATGTTCTATTAACGTGTATAAATCCATCCATATCACTTCTACTCTTTGCTAGCATGAAGGCAATATGAAAGTGTCTTTCCTGGGCTGTCAGTCTTCCATTTTATTGCCTAGATAAGGGAAATCATTTACCATTGACAAAGCTCCGTGTGGCCTAGGGGGGACATCTTTCCTCTGTCTTTGTCCATTGTATTTTAGTACGTTTGAAAAAAATTACAAGAAGGAACATATCCAAAGTTGTGCAAAAAGTAAGATAAAAGCCTAATTAACATTCTATGGCATCAATAACTTCTGAATTTGAAACTTCCTGTGAATTTGTAACTCACTCTCATGGTGGCTTTGATACACCAATGCTCTAAACTCCTGTTTGAGCTAGAGGGCTCCGTAATGAAACTGGGCCCTAGTGTTGGAAGCGAAAGAAGACAAATGGTCAGTGCATGGCTAGACCTTCCAATGGGATATGAAGATAAAATACAGGCAGTCCTTGACTTATGACAATAATTGAGCCCAACATTTATGTTGTTATGGGAGACATTTGTTAAGTGAGTTTGGTCCCATTGTATGACCTGTCTTGTCACAGCTGTGAAGTGAACCGCTGCAGGTGTTCATTTACTTACATGGTTGTTAAGCAAATAGGGCTTCCCCATGGACTTTGCTTGTCAGAAGGTTGCAAAAGGGGATCACATGACCCCGGGACATTGCAACCGTCATAAAAATGAGTTGGTTGCAAAGTGTCTGAATTTTGATCACGTCACCATAGGGATGCTGCAAAAGTTGTAAGTATGAAAAACGGTCATAAGTAACTTTTTTTTTAGTGCCGCTATAATGTTGAAACGAACTGTTGTAAGTCGAGGGCTACCTGTAGTGTTTTTATGAGGCTATGGCATTTCCTTAAAAGAATACCAGTGTTCCCATATTTAAGTGGTTAGGAATAATATAATCAAACAAAGCGATACAAAGTGAAGCTTTCACATTGCATTGTTGACATTTGCTGCCGTCTTTAGGATGCTGCCATTTAGTTTAGAGAAGATTGGAGAATCTCACAAAGTTCAAGCCACACTTCAAGAGAGCCTGGCAGGAAATGGAGAGATGTAAAAAAAAAAATAGAGATTGATGGACACACACACACACAGGGAGAGAGAGAAGCCCACACATCAGGAGGATATTATTTCCTACCGTCAAAGGATTGGCTAGAAAGTAGCCAGCCTGAGTTTAAGAATGTAGATATAAAATCTATATAAATTCTTCGTTGCAGCCAACAGAAGTAAACATTTTATTCTGCTGCAGCTGATCACAGGACTGAGCTACGCATATCTGTACTGCATCTATCCCTAAATTAGATTAACCAATCCCCCTGTTTCAGCGTTCTGCTTCTACACCCCATCTCATCGGAAGGCAGAACAAGAATAAGCTCATTGGCTTCTGCCTCGACTTCCCAGTTTCCCATTTCTCCTTGCATTGTTTCCAGGTTGGGAAAAATGATTTGCATGAAAAGGCCCTTCTCAGCATGGGAATTTGGAATCCTAGATAATTCGAATTCTGCTTGTAGATGGAGCTTCTTAAGTAAAAGTGGCATGCTGCAGCAGCCATTATCCTTTCTCATTGTGAGGTTCAGCATGAATCCCAAGGACTTGGCCTCATTTTTGGCGTTTTGTGATAGTAATTGTGCGCTTGTGTGAATCCACATAGGATTTAGGAGGTTTTCACACTCCCTTCTCAGTATGATGTAACTATTATGTACTGGTCCATTCATATGAAACCTGTGCAATGTGGGGACAGTAGAACTTTTGTGTTTTGTTCCAAGAATAACTATGAAAGATGCAACTGTGAATCAGTTCCAAAATATATCTGTGACGAGAGCAAAGAGTAATGAGTAGCAAAGTTTTTCAGATTCTTTCTCCCCAAAATTTGAAATATAACGGGCTGGAAGTATGGCAGGGCTATTGATGCTGGGTACTGTCTGAGTATATGCAAAACTCAAACTGCTGCACTGAAAACTCCTAGAGTACAACCAGGACTGGATATTATATTATAATACAGCCAGCACAATGACCTTGCTAAAATAAATACTAAAATAAAATATGTATTAAAGTCTTAATTTCTCTTGCACTATAATGACAAGTGAAGTCCTCCATATATTACTGTTATTTGCCTTCTTAGATTGCCAATCACACAATATTAAGGCATGCTAATACAGGCCCTATAACTTAGGTATGTGCTTGGTTGGGAAAGATTCAAAACTCCACTGGGATAGGTGATATCTTTTAACAGGTGGTTGATGATCTTACTGACATGTTGTTTTGTCTAATGCTTTGTTTAGCCTTTTCAAACCTCAAAGGTAATAAAGCATTGGATGAAATTCTATATGAAACAAAGTTAGATGTTACATTGCTATGCCATGTGGAATGATAATAATCAAGCAAAATGAGAAATTATGAACCTTACGATGAATAAGCTTAGCTTAAATCAGTAATTGATTAAAAAAAAAATTGAAGCTCTAGGTTCATCCCCAGTTCTGCTTCCAGTTGTGATGCTGAATTTGTCACACAGGAAGCTATTAAAACAGAGCCTAGATAATTTTTTTATTAGACCTCTTCCACTTTGGAAAGAACAGACCTGAGACAGCAGTTGAGCTGGGGTTTTATGGTTTTGATAGCTGCTGAGATATAATGTCCACCTTTCGTTAGGAAAGTATAACTATGGCTATTGTGCTACAATGGGCATTCTTGTGCTCTCCTTAAACCCGTTGCAAAGAATATAATTCCTTGCAAATATTTGTAACTAGATCTATGACATTCATGTCTATATGTCATGTTTGATTTGAAGACATTTTCTTCACTTTGGTCTTATTTTAATTAACGGGCAGAAATTCCTGCCTACCGTGCGTAACTAAAATAGAGATTACTCTACTTATTGCTATAAAACTTTGGAATAATTAAAAAAACTTATATGCTACCCAATTCTGAAATGGAATTTGAAACATGAAGTTGAAATATATTTGCTGGCTAGTTTGGGGCAATCAAATTGAAAGTATCAAAGTCTGCAACTGATGAATAAATGCAAACCTTAAATAATGATGGTGTTGGAACACATTAGGATTAGACTATTCTGCTGTCTGTATTATATCAGATAGCAGTTCATGAAAGTTACATCTGATCATAGAAATGTTACTATAAAGCTGGTTAAAAAGCAGAAGTAATTATGGCTTAATGGAAAAGGTACCAAACTTCATCTAGAGCATCTCTGTAGAGATGCAATAAAAGACTGATTTAAAATCCATGTATACTACCTGTAGGGACAACTCGAACAAGCTTGTGTATTTCAATACCAATTCCAGGTAGACTGACATGGTTAGAATCCAGTCATCTTTTCTTTCAAGACTTTATTGGCATCTTAACCAGTCCAGTAGTTTCCATAAAACAATCTGTAGTGTTGTTTGCTGAGAATACTCAACAGGCTGATTGTTCATAGGATGTGAGCTTTATGATTGATAGAAAGGTAGACCATATTGAAGTGCACTGATCTTTTAGGTTTGGTAGAAAAATTGCTTCCAGAGCCTTCCCAAATTTTGAGCTATAAAATTATTAAGTTCCAAAGGAATAACTACGCCACTTCGAGAGATTTGGGCAGTAGTGATTAACATCTAAAAATGAGCCATTGAGTCATCTGCAGTTGTTTTTATACTTAGGTTCTTCTCTTCAACATTTTTTGGAGCCCCTATCCATCGAATTGTAGCACGACGGTCCTGCTAAGTATGATCTCATGCCAAGCGTAGGTTTCCAGCCCTTACTTTATGCCCTAACTTGGCTGTAACGTGAATGTATGCCCACACTTCTATGAATTGAGTAAGAGTGTACATGCTTTGTGACTCTTTGCATCTTTTGTTAGAAAACTGGCTCTGTAAATGCATCCCATGGCTCTGGGCTCAGCAGGTAAAGGAAGAAGGAAGTCTGTTAGTGCGTGAGCCTAATCAGGCTGGCAAGAGCAAGTAAAGTAGGGCAGCATCACACATTAGCTACTGTGTAATTGAGCTCTTTGATGGTCAGGGCACTGCAGGAGAGGGTGCCAAGCGGAGCAGAACTTTTGTTGTTAATTCAGTCACCCATGGAAGCTGTAAAGCTGTACATCTCTGCATCTTGGTGCCTAGAGAACTGAAAAGCCCTTGCAAGCAGCCTTTTCAGTCCCTGCCCTTGGCCCTAGTCTGCAAACTTTCAGGCCTTCGCTCTGCCTCCGGTTCTCAGCACTTGATTTCCCTTTTCTCTTTCTTTCTTTGGTTCGCTTTCTTCCCTGTGCACTATAAAAAGCAAAGCTCCCATGCCGTTTGAACTAGGCGGCTGTGAGTGAGGGCTAGCTCAGAGCTGTGTGGCTGTTACCTTTGTATTCCAGATGAAACTGCCAAGCTCCGTGGGACAGAAGAAGATTAAAGCCTTGGAGCAGATGCTGATGGAACTCGGAGTAGGTGAGTAAAGAGGGCAGGGAGAGGGAGAGGGAGAGACCCGTGGAGCAGCGTCTTTGTAGTCAAGATGGGCTATTTTTTCCTCCTAGTAATACAGCCAGTTCCTTCAATAACGCTATATGTGAATGGATTTGAAAATAATACGTATTTTGTTTAAGGAAAAAAAAAGAAGGGGTAAAAACCAAAAGATGATGCATAGCGTTCTTTAAAAAAAAAAAAAACTTTCCAGTAGAAAAGAATTTGAACAGTCTTTGTCGTTTTCTCTCTTGGGTGGGTTCTTTTAAGGCATCAGAAGTCATGGAATAGTCATGGAATTAAGGAGGTAAGTCTCATCATATAGGGAAAAATACTTAGGAAAAAGTGAATGACCATTGCCCCAAAATCTCTGTCCCCCTTTTGGTACCCCGCAGCTCTCATTTTGGACAGATCGTACATGGTCAGCACAAGGGTTTGCCTCAGGGGTCTTCAAACTTGACAGCTTTAAGACTTGTGGATTTAAACTCCCAGAATTCCTCCTCCAGTCATGTTAGCACAGGAATTCTGGGAATTGAAGTCCACAAGTGTTAAAACTGCCAAGTTTGAAGACCCTTGGTCTATCTGGAATATTGTCAATTCCTCCAAAGCACAAGGCTGTGTCAAGGCTGGATGTGGATTTTGCCACCTTTGCATCCAGAGAATAGCAACCTCCTTGAGTCTAGAAACACTTTGCTCTAGCAGTTACCTTGAATAATGAACTATCTGAGTGTTCAGTTAGGGCCTTCCTTACAAGGTGGACCGGTGACTAAACCCTCTTCTCACACTGTTGAGGCTTGGCAAGAATCCGAAGGCAAATTCCTTATATGTCCAATGATCTGGGCAACAGAGTTTGGGTTTGTTCCTGTATCTGACTAGGAATAAAATAAGATTACAGCAACCCCACAGCTGACAACAGGTTCTGTGTCTTCCTCACGTAGTTTTCTTTTCCTGCTTTCTCTAGATTTGAACCCGATGCCAACAGAAGAAATTGTTCAGATGTTCAACGAGTTGCGCAGTGATCTGGTGCTACTATATGAGCTCAAGCAAGCCTTTGCAAACTGTGAATATGAGCTGCAGATGTTGCGCCACCGCTATGAGGCACTAGCCAAAGCAGGTAGCACAGGACCTAGCACAGACGGCGGCTCACATCCCGATGGACAGTCAGGCACAGAAGAAGGCAAGGGTGACAGCAAGGAGCAGATCATTGATGTGGTGGGAGCACCCCTCACACCTAATTCTGTGAGTGTTATTCGGAAGATTATTATTATTATTATTTTGCCATTGCTTGGTTTTTAGCATATGAAGATACAGCCTTGGGAAGCCACTTGAAATAAGAGGATGCTTGGGGGCCTTTGGGAAAGAAGCTTATTTGCACTCTCAGGTGATATACAATCAATCAGAATAGAACTGGAAGGGACCTTGGAGGTCTTCTAATCTGACCCCCTGCTCAAGCAGGAGACCCCCGTACCATTTCCGGCAAGAGGCTGTCCGGTCTCTTCTTAAAAACCTCCAGTGATGAAGCACCCACAACTTCTGGGGACAAGCCTCAGAAGTTAATTGTCCTCACTTTTAGGAAGTTTCTCCTTAATTCCAGGTTGTTTCTCTCCTTGATTAGTTTCCATCCATTGTTTCTTGTGTACCCAAGAAGGAAGCAATTTGACATTCAGTCATCATTCCCCTGGAGCCAGGTTTATCTGATGGCATCATAGAGAGACGAGACATGGACATTTTTCTTAAGGACAGACTTCCAGGATGTTTCACTCGGTATATACAGTGTACTCCAAATCCCCCCCCCCCCCCAATTCAATCTAGGACTTCATCACCCTGCTGTTTAAACTGACATTTTGTTAAATCTCCAACTGCTAAGTTTAAATTCTAAGATACAAACTTCATTATAATGGGGTCAGTGAGTTATTAAGTTACATTTGTGATCAGGCTATTAGTCAGCTAGCTATTACTCCCTTCTTGCTCATTGTAGTGCAGCTATCCAGCACGTTGGCCTAATGGCATGCCACAGCCTTTACAAAATGTTAGAGATTAAATTGGAATTTTATGTAGAAGCTCATTCTTAGGGGAAGGATAGAAGTCAACACGGAATGGTCTAAACCAGGCCTGTCAAACTCCCGGCCCATGGGCTGGATGTGTCATGCACTGGCCACAGCCATGGCCAGTTTAGCGAAGAGGGGGGGGAGTCCTGATACGTCACATGATGCCGTCATGATGACCTGAGTTTGACACCCCTGGTCTAAGCCGTCTTGCTGAGCTCCACTGCCTTGTTGATTTTGGGAAACTCAAAATCTCCTCCATGCCTGGGTTTTAGCCAATCTCATAATCAGTTCTTATTATCCAACACAGAACCATTTTTCTGTATAGCAATTTTCTATTTCTCATTCTGGACTTGGAATAGGAACAGAGAGAATAGCACCAAGAGGGTTAACATGATCTGGACTGTGATGTATTTGAAAGAAATATAATCAAGTTAATTCACTGCAAGGCAAGTTTGGTACCTAAAGCGCCCTACCCCCTGTTAAATACAGCTCTGACCTTTACCAGCTGGTTACACAAAGGCAACACAATTAGATTAGTTCAAGACAAAAGGTCAAGCGCATTCACACTGTGACCACTTTACACTGTCTTTGGAAAGGAAAGAAATTCCACCCAACAAAAGCGGGCAGCTCAGGAAGGTTCGTTGTTCTTTTCAGGATGGAGAGAAGGGGCATACATTGGTTGGAGGGTAGAGAGGAATTCTCCTTTATGAATTTTCGGAAAAGAATACTCCATGGATATCCATTCTACTACTACCTAGATAGCATGTTGCAGAGGGTTACCACATTTCACATATATTTTGGGCTTTACTTTAGGTAAGCACCATGAGTCCCAATTGTTTGGACTACTTATTTCTGTAAGATTGGCACCTAGTCTGACTGAGGAGATGGCCAGTTCTTAATATTGAAACCAGCTTGTTTTTTTCTTTTAGAAAGAATATGCATTGGTGTGGGAGAAAGTTACTACAAGTGATAGTTACAACCTCATATTACAGCTGTTGTGATGTCCTGCATCACATGATAGCAGTTTATGACTTTCCCTATGGGGTTCCCAGAAGTAAAGTCAATGTGAAACTGGCAGGAAGCTAGAAATTGTGGTGACACAAGATCCTCATTTAACGACTCATAAGGTCTTGTTTAACCATGGCAGCTTGGACTGTTGGAATTCTAAGCAGTGGGGTCATATGGCTTTTTGACGTAACTATCATATCACTTAATGACAGATTCCACTTGCAGTCAGGGTTGCTAAATGAGGATTACCTGAATACTGACAGTATAATTTCATAAGATTTGAGTGAATAGACATTTGACTGAAATAAATCTCAATGAGCAAATATTGTTGGTTGATGGACATGAGTTTATCCCTTAACTCAAGTTACTGATGATAGTCCCACTGTCCAAAGCCATTGTCCAAATGTTTTGCCATGTTTTAAACAGGGGAGCTAGTTATGGTTAGAGCAGGGGTGTCCAACCTTGGCAACTTTAAGACTCGTGGACTTCAACTCCCAGAATTCCTCAGCCAGCTTTGCTGGCTGAGGAATTCTGGGAGTTGAAGTCCACG